CCCTCCTCACCACCGGGCGCGGCCGCCATTTTGAGAGCGAGCTGGAGAGAAGGAGGGAGGGGGCAGGGAGGGAGCGGAGGGCGGGGAGCAGCAGCGCAGGGGAGGGGGAGCGCGGCGGAGGGCCGCACCGCACGGCCGCGGGGGCCCGGGCAGCCTTCTGCCGGGGGCCGCGAGGCCGAGAGCGGGCAGGGAGGGGAGGCGCGGCCCCGGCCTTACCCGAGCCGCCGCTGCGCTGTGCTCCGTGGGGCCGGCGCCGCCCGCCTCTCCCATTCACCGGTGCTGTGCGGTGCGGCGCGGCGCAGCAGGGCGGTGCGGGGCACGGAGGAGGGTCCCGGGGATCCCGCAGGCGCTGGCCGCTCGCACCGCTCCGCTCCGCGGTCTGTCAGTGGCGCCCCGGCCGCCGGGAGGGAGGGAGGGAGCGGCGCGGCCCGCCGTGTCACTGCGCATGTGCGCGCCGGGGGCGGGGATAGCTGCCCGCCGCCATCTTGGGAGGTGCAGGGCGCGTGTCCCGGCGTGCCCCGCGGTTCCCGGCTTGCAGCGCGCGGGACCTGAGGGGCCGCGCTGAGGGATGGGGCCGACGGCGGGCACCGGGCACGGCCCCAGCGGCCCTTCGGCCCCGGTGCTGAGCCTCTTGTGAGGCGGGTGTGCCTTCACAGGCACCTGCGCTCCTCACGCTCCAGCTTGCGGTGGAACCTGCTGCCCTGTCATACCCGTCACCAGTGCCCATGACCGCACTGCCTCTCTTTGCATCAGTGTGTTCATTATTGATGGAGCTGCTTTAGAGATGTCTGTAAACGGCAAAATAGGAAAAGGAAAGCTGCAAATACCAGTGAAGAGACTAACGCTACAGGAGAGGTTAGGAAGATGAAGGAAAGGCAGAGTAAATGCATTCCTCTGTTGTGTAGCTTGGAGAATGCCCAATGGACTCTCCCCATCACCAGTGCTCACAGGACACGCACTGCACAGACCCTGATGTGTGCAGTGGTGCAGAGGACAAGGATGGGGTGTGCAGAGCACAGCTTCCCCTTCTGGTCGCCATGGAGCTGGTGCTGGGTTTGTCCTGACCCAGCTGGTGCAATGGAGCAGTCCCAGCGCGGAGTTACCTGCTCCTGGCGTTGGGCACTGCCTTTGGTGTCGCCGCTGCCCTGGCTCGTGTGGAATCTGCTCGCAGGACAGCGTTATTCTTGGTGCATAACCGTGTCCCACACACCTGGGGTCACCACATCTGTGGGGAACACTGATACCATTTGTGACCATTACCTCGAGATCAGGGAGCTCGGTGGCCCTGCCCATGGCAGGGCTGTGGAAATGGGTGATATTTAAGGTCCCTTCCAACCCAAACCATTCTGTGCCCCTGTGCCTCTTGCTAGTGCACATTCACAGTATCAGCATGATGTATACTTGGAATAGAATGCTTTCATAGTCTTCTCCAAACCCTGCTAAGGTAAATCTCAAATATCCTTGGTTTAATACATCAGTGTTCCTAACACTAAACCAAAGCATACCCCACTGGTCAGGTAATCCACATGCTCAAAAGCAGTGACTGACAAGAGTACAGAACCCTGGAGAAAGGGGGAGCTGGCAGTGGACCCAACCAGTACAACTGCTCAATCACAGCAAATCCAAAGAGCCCTGTGGCTACAGGGAACAGTTACATGTGTCGCTGTCAAAGGCCAGTGACCAAAGTCACTTCTAACGTTGGCAGCGTAACGCAGCGTTGAATGCAGGCCATAAGGGTTTATGGAATGCTGATTTGGGAAAGAAGTAATTTCACATGTAAAATTATGTGAACAGCAAAAACCTGAAGAACGTTCAAGGGACACTGACAAATTCGTACTCAAATCTGTAGGTTTGTCTGGTTTTACTGCCAGTAGCAAATATGGTTTGTGCCATGAATCTCTGTTATGCACTGAGGGCATGGGCAGCACTTTCTGTCACCTTCACTGCTGTGCTGTGGCTTATGGTCAGTCGCTTTGTCTTTGTAATGCTGTTTTATACACCAGCAGGCAAGAGTTGCAATTTCAACCCAACATGCAATGCAAAAGTGTAAATGCATCCAGGACAAATGATGAGTATGGACTGCATTTAACTTATTTTTTTCATTGACAACATGACAAGTTTTAGGTCCATTTAAGCCTTGACAATTTCTTACAGCTTACACACAGAGATGCTGATGCCACAGACATTCCCAAATACACTGGTGGCGTTCAAAATGGGCTAAAAGCGTGGAGTAGTTCAGTTTCAATATACTGATGAATATAACTAATAATGAGATAAAGAGTAGGCCAGATTTCCAGCATGTGTCGGGATCCTGTACCGACATTTGAAGGCAGTGTTCAGACACAATGGTACCAGCCATTGCTCAGTTTTAGCCTCTTGAACTGTTCTCTGGCAATTGACATACTTACAATTCTTAAATGTGTTGAGTGCATTTTCTTGTCTCTTGAGGCATGTAACCACTGCCTCGGTTGGGTTTTCAGGTGCTGATTAAACAAGGGCAGGAGTAGCTTAGAGCCCCACTCCTGCTGTGGGTAAAGGAGAGGAGCCCTTTCCCCCTTCAGGTTAAGTACCTGTGAACATGTTCTAGGGTGAGTTGTTGTACATGTACCTTATGTCCTGGGGTCCTATGGGCTTTGAACTGCTGAGCACAGGGCTTTGAGCTGATGGCTCAGGTATTTTTCATCCATCCATCCATCCATCCATCCATCCATCCATCCACCCACCCACCCACATCCACCCATCCAAGCTGTCTAGTCTTTGTCACACCAGTTTGGCTATAATGATACCGGGAGGCCACATCCAAAGCCTTGCTGAAGTCAAAGTAGATAGCATTCACAGCTCTCCCCTTGTCCACAGACTCAAGGGATAACGAGTCACCTATCCGAGAAATTAAACCCATTTCACAGAGATCAATGAATTTTCCCAGTGCTTTTAAGAACTAAGTATTTTATTCTCCTTTTACAGCTGACCCTCCTTGTAGTATCACTGCTTGATACTGGGATGGAAAAAAATCCCAGTTCCCAGCATGGATAAAACATAAGGAGTCTCAGAGCCCATTTTCCTCAATACTTTCCTGGATTGCCGCAGTGCACCTTGGTAACAGCAATCACAGCCCTCTGCCTCAGATCAGAGGTGTGCAGATCAGGGGGTGTGCAGATCAGAGTTACATAGCTTCTCTCGATTCCAACTTCCCTTTTTCCTTCAGGATATTCCTGAAGTGTATGTTTACAACAGAGCCATGCTGCGGAGTGAGCCAGGCTCTTCAGTGTGCTTTTCACCATCTGGGGTGGCACATGCAGCTCCATCTACTGCACCAGAGATTACATGTTCCAGAATGTTACAGCAAACCGTGCTAGGAGGTTTCTGCTGAACGCTGAGAACTTCATTCATTCATAATTCACATGTTGCCTGTGAATGAAAGCTGTCATTAATATTCTCTGTGTGTGTACATATTTGTGTAGCAAAACACCCGCAGGGACTGTACCGCTGCAACCAGTGAATTTACATCTTGTGAGTCCATGGCAGGGCCTGGCTGGCACAAGTAAAGCAGGACTGGGCTCTAGAAGTGCAAAATCATCCACTTCGCTGGGTTCTAGGTGGAAGTACAGCCATGTGCATTCTGCCATCATGGGTTTTCTTTTAACATCACTTGGGGTTTAACTTAAAGATATTGGAAAAGAATATTATTTTCGCAACCAAAACAGAACAAAAATACCAGTGTGTGGGGAAATGTGTTCCCAATGCGAAGCAGAGCACAAAAAGCATTCAGATTAATTTTTAATGTATATTCACGTTAGAAAGCCTACTTTCAGCACTCCTGTGTCCTTTCCTGTGTATTATCAACATAAGGAAAAGAGCAACCTGTAACTGTGCCCCCTCTACCCGATGTGCTAATAGCATTAGAAAGGAGAGAAGATAAATCAGTCTGGTCTCTAGTGGGTTCAGTACTGAGAACGTGAGCCTTGTGCGGTCTTTACCCATTGCAGCAGAGGTTTTTACTGAAGTGAACCCCTTTTCACATTTAGCATTCCATTTTTAGTAGTGGAAGTTCCCATGCCTCTCAAGTGGCCATCATAGCAATGGCAACATTGTCTTTCTGTACCTCCATTCAACAGTCTGTTACCACAGATGTTCTTTTCACATGGTTCCTTCTTTAATCTCACATGTTAGCCCAGCAGCTCCTCTTCCTGGAGCCAAAGGTTGAAAGTCCAGGTAAGAGCAGCATTTCATCAGTTTCTCAGTTTCAGTTTTGCTGGCTGCACCCTGGCAGAGCACCTACATAAACCTGATTGTTCCCCTGTGAGTCTGCCAGCTCCGCGCCCGCCGCTCTGTTCCCTCAGTTTATCTGCTGGCTCCTTTCCGTGGCCGTGAGGGTGTGAGCAGTGACTGCTGTCTGTCACCTTCAGCCTCCTCCGGCCCCATGCAGTGAGACATTGGCAGTATCCTTCCTCGTGATGCTGTGCAAACAAGATTGCTTATGATAACCTTGACAGAGTTTTTCCCATGAGGGTTGCAGGTATTTATTGTCATACAAGAAGATGTTTTCTGTTCCCAAATTTTTTAATTTAGATGAAATTACACTTATTCAGTGGATGAATATTCTTATTTTAAAATCTTTTATTCAGAAAGTTCAGCAAATTGTTCTTTATATCATCAACATGGTTTTATGAGTTCGAGTGAATGGCAGTAACGTGCATATTCCAGTTAATGTATAGCAAAGCAAAGCAGAGATAATAAAAAATCCAACTTTCAATCTACCTGGGCACACATTTCGACGTGCCAAAGATGCACACAGCCTCCATGCTAATCCAGAGGTGTACTACAGCTGAACATGCAGATCAGGTCATCACACACTTCTGTAGCTAACGAGAATGATTTGTGTGCCCAAGTACCTGATTTGCATAGGAAACTGCTGCGAATGCACGTGCAGGTATGTTAGATCAGATAAATCACTCCTCAGTCTTACAGATGTATTTCTGAGCACACTGCAGCTACAATTAAGCAAAGTTTGATGTACTCAAGGTGCGAGCCTTTGTTGTGCCTTCTTCATTCACACTTGTCACCTCTACAAATCACACCTCAAGATAAAATCAGAAGAATGAGAGTACAGGCCATTGGCAGCACTGATGTCAGGTTGCTGCCCACATTTGTGTATCAAACAGCAAATACAATGCAAGAGTTGTTCAGTGCTTAGGGAAAGCAAGCCAGAGCACATCAGCATGAGGTAGTAGCATTAAAAGAGGGGAGCACAAACTAACATCAGTGTATTCTTAATCCATAGTTATCCCAGATTTGGATTAAACTGCCTTCTGGAGGGGTTTTAGGGCCCTTTTCATACTGAAGGGTTTCCCTTTGGCTGTAGCATTTCTCTTTCTGATGGGTTTATATTTTAACAAAGGCTGGGAGAAACTTTTATGCCAAGTGCATCACTGGAGCTGCTGCTGAGCCCAAAGCACAGTTAAAACAAAGAAATGTGTTGCTTTTTAATTCTTTAAATTCCATTGCTAATTATAGTAGTGTGTAATCGTGTGTGTTGTTACTGCTGACACTATCCACCCCTTCTGAATTCCTTTCACTATATTCCTTTTTGATTGAAATAATAAAGCACTGTCAGCAATGCTAAATGACACTGTTTGCATTTTATGTATATATAATCCTCATGCAGCAATGGGTGGGTTCATTGCACTCAACCTAATATGAAAACATGTTCTCATGTTATTCTTCATGCTTTTGTAATTTTATAGTTTATATGTAACACAGAAATCTGGAATTTGCTTCTAAGTTAAGAGTTTCTTTCCTTTAAATCATTTTCAGCCATATGTATTAGTTTGTTACTGCAAAATCACCAGAAGCTCTTGAAAGTTCTGCTCCTACAGCAGAAATCTGCTGCTCAAGCTGCTCTAAAGCAATAGGGAAATAGAGCGTCTGCCCCAAGGATGCTGCGGCAGTGCAGCCACAGCTGTAATGGTACAAGTATCTTTAGTTGATGCGGGAAAATCAGAGGATGGTGTTACTCATGTCATTGCCATTATAGAGGTGGGACATGGGAAAAGCAATGTAGGAACTGCAACCTGTGGCTGCTGTGAAGGAAATGTATCTGCAGCTCCTGACCCTGTGATCGTGCCATGTCTCACTGACATCACATCTCACTGCTCTGGCAGGTGCACCGTGAGCTGAGCTGGCTGGAACACTGAGCTGCTGCTCTCTGGAAGGATGATGGACTTTGCAGCTGAAGCTATGAACAAGCCAACAGATTTATAACATAGGGGCCAAGGTACGCAGGGAGCCTGCTCAGAAGCTGCTTCAAAGGTGATTTTGATCTTGTATGTCTTCTAATCAAAAATACAATCCTGAACAGAAACACCTCGTACAGGCATTTCTTTCCCTTAACGTACTATTTAACTAATAAACCTGTTCTAAACTTAATAAAGTGTCAGTCTATTCCCCCATTAAAATCAGCAACGTTTTACAAAAATCACCACTCAGATTTGTAAATGCCACATTCTGATGGTGCATTTTTAAATTTGAGAGTATTTATTATCACCAGAAAAATCAGAATTCTCTTCTGGAGGGGAAAATTTGTAACTCTTGTTAGATGATGGGTGCTGTTTGGTCTAAGTGGAAGGTGTAGGAGTTGAAATAGATGGTACTGAGGCTGCTGACAACATTTAAAAAGGTGGTCCAGGTTTCCTTCTCACAGGAAAGCAGAGTGCACCTTCCCTGCTACGAGGAGGTAGGTGGCTCATAATGCTTTGTGATTCACATACATAAGAATGTACCATGGACAACCCAGGCGCAGATACTCACACACCCTCATCAAATTATGCTTGACACATTCTTAAAATGAAACTTTCTGACTGCAATTATCCTCATTAGTTGTGCTGTGATTCAGCATTGCTCTGGCTAGTCATGGAATACTTCAGTGGCTGTTCTCCACAGCATATGTCAGAAGGAAACAGTACCCCTAGCTTGCCTTTTGATTGCTGTTTTTCCTCTGGGGTACAGCTGTAATGAATAGTACTTTATCTAAAAAGGGTTCTGGGAAGGACCACCTGGAGACACTGCCTCTTGTAGCAGGTATTTTCTAGTAAATGCACTGAAAACTGTAAATGGAAGAAAAAAATCTGAGATTTAAAACTTTTGCCTGACAGCAAATGCACAGAAGACAGAGTGGGGAGAAGTGCTCGCTGTACTCCTGGGATGCCACCAGCCCTGTGGAATCTCAGCACTGAAAACTGTAAGTGACAGCAGCCGTAAAATGATTAATTCTGTTGTACAAGTATGCAAATATGTCCTTAGGAACCAGATGTGAGACTGGAATTACAAAAATCACATTTGGGAGGTTCAGTTTGTTACCCTTTAATACATCATGACATCCTTGGTTAGTAACTGTGTTAACAAATAATGATAGTAAGGACTTTATTTGAGGTGGAGAAGAATTTCTAATGGAGACTGATTTACTAGTTCATGAAAACTGGGCATGAATTCCTTGTTGGTTCATTGACAGAATCCCAGTGGATTTCCATTTGGCCTGGAGAGTTTTCTCTGTCCTCATTTCAGGCTTCACGGTGTTATCTGGATTCACTCCTTTATCTTGTATGGCAGCTTTTTCATTATTAAGCAGGCTCTAAGTCCTGTTTGTTAGGATTCATCAGGCTGATGGTACATATCACAGACAAAAAGAATACCTTTTGTTCGGTTTGAAGCTGGCAATGTAACCATAACTGGGAGGGTAACTGGTTGACATATTATGCCAGAATAATTAAGTTAGGTAAGGTTGTTAAAAAGAAATTGAATTATGGTAAGACAGTAATAACTGCTACGGGAGTCTGGACTCGAACATGTTCAGCTGTAATAGATCAGATCAGTTCTGTAAAATTCACCTTTCTGCAGCCACCTACACGTCTGTAGGAGCAGGCATTTCCATATTCTGAAGCAGATACACCAGTGCCGTTTGTCACAGAGGCTGTTGCAGGGTAGAAATTAAGCAGCACAGACACTGCTCAGAGTTACTTTTGTGAGTTGAAAAGTCAATTACGAGTAAAAGACCTGAATCATTTGGGGAAAGGGCCTGATCATGAACACAATTCTGCTTTCTCCACTTCCTTCTCCTGCTGGTGCCCAGGGTACTTTCAGCTATTCCTTTAATGTGAGCAGCACCAGGCTCCATGTGCTAGCACAGCTTTCAGAAGTGTTCTTTGAATGTCAAGAAGTACCTGTAGGCAACTCCAGCAACACAGCTTTTGTTTTCATTTTCCTGACAGAAGAAGACCAAGCACTGACAACTGCAGTGTCAGTCATTTTAATATCCAAAACCATCAGATAAGTTTTAAATGTTTAAGAACAAATGCTCAAGGGAAAATAAACCAAAACTCTTCAGCCTAAGACATCACTCTTCAGAGTGTGTAACCTGCCAGCCTCTGTGTGCTCACTGTTAGCTACTTGTACAAACTACCCTTTTTAGTTCAGGGTGGTTTTCCCACAAGGGAATCATTCCGTGCTCCAAGTTAATTATGTTTCTCTCCCCTTGAGTTTCTTTACTAGCTAGAAATTTAAGCTAATGTAGTCTATTTTAGGTCTGTAAAAGTGCTCAGTGCTGTGATATCTACATACTGATCTAAAAAGATTATAAAAACCTGCATATGGGAAGTAAGAGGACAGCCAGGGATCATCTTTGTTCTCCCTGAGCAGAGTCTCTTTCAGCTGGCTTAAACAGTTGTCCTGAAGTAGTGCTGCATTATGCTATGCCGAATGTGTACATTTTAATGAGGTGAGTTAATCCCTATATTCTAGGAAAAGACCTTGATAGCATTATCTGTCATTACTTACAATACTGTGTGTAATAGAGTGCACAGAGCTGTTCTTGCACTGCCAGACCAGTTACAGAAAAACAGCCTTTTACAGGGAACTAAAATGTGTTTGCTCACAGGCTACTAATCAGTCTCTGTGGTGAGTATCAGGACCCAGAAATGACTGCTGTGTTTGCTCTGAGCAATAGAGAGAAGCAAGGGGATACTGGCAAGGTACTAAGGAAATACTCACTGGCTCAGCAGCACTCTATTTGGGTCGGTATCAGCAGTGACAGCTAAATAACAGAAAGAGGGCCACATACTTTGCTAAGATAATACCAAATGCTGAGGTTTTCTAGTAAATCCCTTGCCCCACAGTTTCCATCATCCTCGTCCACAGCTGGAAGTCTTCAAAGCCTGTTAGTGATCAGCAATAAGTATTCCACTGGCACCTAAGATGGGGAAAGTAAGACACCAGCAGTGCCAAATGTCAAGCTTGGAAATGACAGGTATACTCATTCAGCAGAAGGGAGGCCACACTAGGAGCAAACACAGCTCTGTTCCAATCAGGGATCTAATCTTTGTACAACGATTGCAATTAACAAAGTACATTATTTCCAGGTCATTCTTAATGGATGTAAGAGCTTGACATTTGGTACTTACTGTAGCCTGAGAGCAGCCTAAAACCATTGTGGAACCTCACAGTCATAGTCATTTGAAACTGAGAAGAACATTTCAGTACTTGTGATGCTCCTTTCTCTGAGATCTTGAAGTAATAAATCCAATTTTCATAGCAAAACATAGGCTGGTTCACTGTGTGGTGCTGACACTACTCCAGGATTCTTTACTGATGTATTTTTGTGCACTCCATTCTTCATTTTCTGTTGCCTTGCTCCTTGTGGAGTCATTTACATATATGCAAAATTAATGTAAAAAATCAAATCAAAATTGTGGCCTTTCTCACTAAGGTTTTGCAAGTGCTAATAATAAACCAGGGTGCGAGGCAAGTGGAGAATCTAGCCTTAGGGCATGAATCTGATTTCAGATCATTCTTGTGCCGTTCTTTGTTTGGATGTTATTCTTAATTTGTATCTGTATTTTTACTGGCCAGTAAATGCGCAGCAAACGGCACCATTCAGAAATGGTTGTGAAACTGAGCAGCTAATACAAATCCTGATCTGGAGTGTGGAGAAGGATGGTGAGAAACGAGACAGGATGGACAGGGAGGGGCTTGGAATAGTTTAAAGAATTGGAGAAGGCAAGAAGCTCATTTTATTCTCATTTAGCAATTAAGGCCGAGCCTGGCTTTATCCACCGGAGCAGACAGAGGGGAGTAGAGCCAGGAGGGGGGTACGTGTTGGGTATTTGTGAGCACACCAGTGGGGATGGGAAGGATGAACAGAGCAAGCAGAGGAGGTGCTGTCAGCACCCGCAGTGACACCATGTCCTAGGAGGTCAGCAGTGGGCTCACAGAGCCCTCGAATCAGCCAGGTGGCCAGTTCCCCCTCAGGCTGCCAAGCGCTTGCTCGCCAGCCTGGAGCCAGACACAGTGCCAGGTGGCAGCTCCATCACCAGCATCCCATTAGCAGTGGCACTGGGTGGGAGCCAAGTGGGAAGGCAGTGCCGAGGTGGCAGCGCTGTGCTCCAGCCCCACAGCCACTGCCTGGATGTGTTCTAGAAAGCTCGAGGTTTGTAAGTCTTTGCTTTGCTGGTTCATTGGTTTTGCTTGTTGGGGTTTTTTAAGCTGTAAAGCTGCCCAGATCTGCTGGGTGCCTCCAGTAGTAATACGTCAGAACACTTCCTAAGAGTGAACTGTGCCATGCTGCAAGTGGAGGGTCTGTCCCTGCTAGAACGAAACTACCCCCAGTCATTTACTTAGAATCATAGAATAGTTAGGGTTGGAAAGGACCTTAAGATCATCTACTTCCAACCCCCCTGCCATGGGCAGGGACAGCTCACACTAAACATTTTGGAGTTAACTCAGTCCTCATCAAGAATTTTGGCTATAAGGGCAGAATTCAAGCTCTATTTTCCATAGTGTTTCAACATTTACTGAAGACAGTTATCCTCTGGCCATAGGAGCAAAGTCAAAATTGACAATGTTTCAGGTCTTTTCCACTCCTTAGACATCAGATCATGACATGTAAGTAGGGAAAAATTGTCAGTTTTATACATGTTGTGAATAAATAGAGCTCTTCAGTTTGTAGCATCTTGTGTAAGTACCAAGGTACTAAAGAAATCAGGGAAAGGGGGAACACTTAAAAATTCATTGCTCTCTAGGCCTCTCTCCTGGTCTGAAAATAGCATTTCACCTTTAGGCTGGCAGTTAGGGCAAGATAAACACTTTTGAATGAAGTAAGCTGACTGGCCAAAAGTGAGATAGTAGTTTATAGGGATGGAGCTATATATAGCCTGAAGGATACCGCCTCCAGTGACTCAGGGTCTGCTCTCAGAGACAGGCTGGTCCAACGGCTCGTTTCAAGTTCTCAAACACTTGATTCAGTTAACTCATGTGGTACTTGTCTGTATTGAATTTGCCAGCGATAAGACAAGAATAGCAGATTTGATCCATAACTCCTTGAAATCAGTGAAATATCCCAGCATCGTTGGATGAAGGAGTTAGCAACTATGTGTTATAATCCTGGGTTGACTCCGAGTAGCCTATGACCTTGTGTTAGCCTCTCTCCCCAGTTTCCATAGATGCAAAATGGAGCTAAGAATGCTTAATGACCCACTTTATCTACTAAACAGGGTTAAGGCCAGGGACCTTACACCATTTAATTACTCTTTGTAATGAGCTCTGAAAAGAAATGACTGAGAACAGGGGTTGTTGGAGTAATTGCCTAGAGGCTGGATCAACTTGGGGCAGGTAGGGTGGGATGGCAGCGGGTTGTGCAGCAGATCGGATGCAGATGCAGATCAGATTTAGATGCAGCTGCAGATGGGATGCAGTTCAGATGAGATGCAGTTCGGATGCAGGTGGGATGCAGTTCAGATGAGATGCAGTTCGGATACAGATGGGATGCAGTTCAGATGAGATGCAGTTCGGATACAGATGGGATGCAGTTCAGATGAGATGCAGTTCGGATACAGATGGGATGCAGTTCAGATGAGATGCAGTTCGGATACAGATGGGATGCAGTTCAGATGAGATGCAGTTCGGATGCAGGTGGGATGCAGTTCAGATGAGATGCAGTTCAGATGCAGATGGGATGCAGTTCAGATGAGATGCAGTTCGGATGCAGATGGGATGCAGTTCAGATGAGATGCAGTTCGGATGCAGATGGGATGCAGTTCAGATGAGATGCAGTTCGGATGCAGATGGGATGCAGTTCAGATGAGATGCAGTTCGGATGCAGATGGGATGCAGTTCAGATGAGATGCAGTTCAGATGAGATGCAGTTCAGATGCAGGTGGGATGCAGTTCAGATGAGATGCAGTTCAGATGCAGATGAGATGCAGCGTGCCACTGCCAGCTCCGCAGCCCCAGCTCCGCGCAGAGTCGGCCTCTCTGGTGCATTCCAGCACTTCCTCGCCTCTTGGAAAGGGTGCAGCCGAGTGACTGCAAAGCGTGATGCCAGAGCCTTGCATCATCCGCTCTCCTCCCCCTCTCTCCACCACAGCTGTGATAGTAACAATTATACTGGGAGGAGTGTGTCTATCTGTGGCATTTCTACCCATTTGATCCGCACAGTCACCGGGAGGTGGGGTTTCTGCCGTGCTTACGTGTCTGTGTTCTGAACCAGCCTCTCCTGTGCCGCTGCTCTGCAGCCAGCGCACCGTCGGTCGGTCCCTGCTGCACCCGTACAGCGCAGGGCTGCATCACACGATGACAACTTGTGGCTTGAGAACGGCATGCAGCCTTCAGATCAAACACCCAGCACCCACCTCCTCCTCTGAGTGCCCCTTCAGCCTGCATGGCAAGGAGGGATGTGTCCTTGCGCCGCAAGGGAGCTTGGAGACAGAAGAGGCTTTGTTAGGCCGGGTTTTGATTCCCTGGGCAGGACACAGACTCCCAAGAAAGGCCACGATAGTCACGGAGCTGACGCCGCTGCCCTCGTCACCGAACACGCGGAGCCGCGCCGTGGCCCTCAGTTCTGCCTTGCACTGGGACGTGTTTACGCAGCTAGCCAGCACACATAAGGAGATCTGTAATCTCTGGCCAGCACACAAGGCACAAACAGAGCAATTTCAGTCCCTGACATGGATTTGTTTTGAAAAACAACTTAAAATAACAAGGTTTTGCGTGCTGGCTGGGGCCAGAAACACTTCACTGTCTTTGTCTTGCATTAAAATGTTTGAATCCACTCTGCAGGCGGATGACCATCTCCTGCATGGGCGATAGGGAGTGTTTTGCAAGGTGTTTTAAGGGTAAAACTGATCTGATTGCAGGTGGCTTTCACCAGCAGCACTGCTCAATTCCTGCTGATTTCAGTGCACATTGGACACATTAATCCCTGAACATTTCCAAGGGTGTAGCCAGAAATTCCAGCTTCAGTCCCTCCATTGCTGTACATTGCACATCACCCGGTCACTAGTGCAGGGTGTGTGGCTGTACGTGTTCATAGGGGCCTGGTGGGATGCAGAAAGCCCTTGCCATTCCCCAGGAACATACTGCCCAAGGGCATGAAAACACTGCCTGTCTCTTCTACACCCATGTGCCTGACACACTGGGACAGGGCTTTAGGTATTTAGGTGCTCTAAGCCTGACTGTAAGGGGTTTTTTACCCCCATAATAATGAAGTGGAACTAAATGATCTATTTTCTAATATGCCACAAGGCTGATTAAATAGGGGGCTGGAAAAGGGGAGTTAGAGTTAACATTTAGCTTTGGGTGTTCTTTTGATTGTTACTTTTTAACACTGGGTCAGGGAAGATTACAAACTTGCAATGAATACAAATAGTTTCCTGATTAGAAAAAAAGGAAAAGAAAGCAAAAAGCAGAAGAGGCCTTAATTTAAACCTTGCCCCAGGGAGCTGGCAGCTCAGAGGCAGCACTGTGGGCTCATGTAGCAGAAGTGTAAAGAGTAATTCCTCACCAGAAGAAAATGAGACTCATCTATTTGGTTTTGCTTCCACTGTTCATCTGGCCTCACTGGGTGCTGTGCTATAACTGACACACACTGGGAGTTAGGAAACCAGGATTTGTAGGAGCAGTGTCTACCCAACTCTTCTCCACCTCACAATACTTACTTGGCATCAGCTCATTTCTGCAGTGCTCCTCGGAATTGTGATAGTACTCATCATCAGAAATACTGTAAATGCTTCTGCCCAGCACACCTTCGACTCTTCAGCTGTATCACACAACAGTAGAAGTCCCAATCCATTTTGGGGGCCTGGGTTTACTCACAGCATTATCGTTAGTTAATGAGTGTAGTAGCACTGATGTCATTGTTTGTTACATGGGCAGGAAGCTGGACTGTGTGTACTGGTGCTTGGGTGGAACGGGGCAGGCAGGCCGCAGGAGCAGGAGCGGAATCCCAGCTCCCACTGCCTGGCCTCCAGACAAGCTCTTCCCATCCATCCAGAGCTTGGCTTTCCTGAAGGAATCTGGCAAAGGATCAGGCAAAGTGCAATGCAAAAGCTGTTGCATGCTGCAAGTGACAAACCCCAAAGCATTTTGTGTTTATTTTTGTTGCATTTGGAGGCATGGGCTGGGTAATTGAATATGTCTTTTATGTCTTATCTTGTATTGTTTCTAGCAAGATTGTTTAGTGAGCGTGCCACCTTTAGGCATTACGGATGAAAAACATTTGAAAATGGAACCTTAGCATGCTGCTAAGGATGCTTAGGCAATGCTTATGGCAAAGCTGGGGCTGCGTGGCAGCCAGCACAAGCAGCCTGAGCTGTTCCTGCTGGGCTACCCCTACTGAGGGTATATTCCACTAAAGGCATGCTGGCTTACATTCTCTTAATTTAAGACTTTGCATATGAACATATGGTAGAAGTACAATGAAGCAGTTTGGAAACACTGGTGGAAAATAAACCACCTTTGCTTATCCCTGTTTTCTTATTTACAGGTCTGTGCAATCATTAATAACATATAAATGTGCTTGTTTGCATCCACATTGCATCTTATAGTTGTTAATTAAGTGGTACAAAGTATGTCTGTGTCTGCCTCATGCAATAGGGATTGTAGAGGGGGTTTTGGCTCAGTAACCAATATAGATGTTTTATCTGCTGAGAGCAGGGCTGAAAATGGGCTTAGGAAAAACCAGCCTGTGATTGGAATCTTCAATGTGGTCCTGCAGTGAGCACCATGCAGAATGGCTTCAGCACCTACTACACTTTGCCATCTCTGCTAAGTGGAGTACAAACCTGTATAGAAATATATAATTAAAGATTAATTTGAATATATATACACGTAAATCTAGCTTTACAGCACTTTGGGGAAGATGGGGATAACTCTGACCCAGTTTTTCACCGCAGCAATGAGCAGTTCTGAATGCCTCCACACCGAGAGGTGCTGGCTTGTTAAAGTTTCATCTCTGGTGGTCAAGTTTCTCTGAGAAATCTGCAGTCAAGCACTCAGAAATAGACTCACGAGCAGTCACTGGGTAATTTCTGCATATTTAGGTCAGTTGTTCTTCTCATTTCTGGTTTTCAGCTTCTGAGACAGAACCTGGAGCAGGGAGTCACTGGTGTGAGCTCGCTTCAGTGTGAGTTTTGTGCAGCCCGTCAGTAAGGGCTTTCTCTAAACTTATGTTAAAGATCTGTTTCTCTGACCTGGGGGAACCATTTCCCACATTACTCACACTGTGCAGCCCGCAGAAGGACACCCTTGAAAGGCAACACAGGTTCTCATTCAAGCTGTAGTGTAGCAGACTGTCAGCACTGCTGCCAGCGCAGGTTGGTGTTTGGGGGCTATGTACCTCACCTCAGCCAAGTCCAGTTGCCTTGGTTCCTTAGGAGTTCTTCTGATGGGAATAACTCTGTCAGTGTAAGCCCAAGGTCAGTTAGGTTTTCTGGTATAACTTCTTTCCCTTCCTTTTCTGTTATGTCAACTCTATCTGGACATGGGGATCTGCTGAGCCTTAACAATCCCATTATAATCAGAGCAATGCAATTTGCCTGTAGACAAGCTCTTAATGTCATTTACAGTGATTATACCTGGGTTAAAGTTACAGTATTGGTTCAGAGCAATCTCATTATTTGAAATAATTATTTAAAATGATTGTAAAACAAATTGCTCATCCTTTTTAAAACACTTGCTTCAAACAGCTCTTCTTCAAATACTTTTCTTCTCCTCTTTGATGTATTGCTGGTACGAGGCTTCCTCTTGTTCTGTGTCAGTGGCTGTCACGTGCAGCCAAACTGGGCTCACTTCAGTGCTAGAACTGATAGTGCACATCTGGTGAGTGGAGACAGCATCGACCTGCTCTGAGCTGCTGCGAGGGAGCTGTTTGATGCTGGCTCTTCCCTGGAGCGTGGGGAGCCCTGAACTGCAATTGGTGACCGCTGACAATAGAGGGAATGGGAGGGCACAAGCTGGACACCATGGGGATGGGCAGATCCCTGCAGAGCACCACAACAGAGCTGGAAAGGTGACCTTGAAGCCTGGCCTGGAGTCCTGCAAGGACGAGGCTGCTTTTAAAGGGCATGTTGGAGATAAAGAGCTTAGAAAGGAAGGGTTTGCTATAATGTCAATCAGATCATTAAATGGGGTTGTGTTTTAGGTTGAAGAAGTGTTGAAAAATCACACTGTTCACAGTAGGACATAAATGCACAGAGTACAAACCATCAGGACAATGTGCTGGTCCTCCCTTCATTTATTCCAGTTTTGTATCACAGGCTTAAAAGCAGTTACCACCAATTTATTATTTTTATTATTTTTAGTTATTCTGGTGAGAACAAATCTGGTGATTTTAATGTCAGAGTTCTTTCTGGTAGTTATCTTCATTTCCAAAACAAACCCTGGTTTACATGTTAGAAGCACTTTGTCCTGCTTGGTTTTACCTGTGATTTTGTCACCGGCTGTTTCATTGCTATTGGTGGGAGATTCAAGAGATGCTGGTGTTTTTTGCTCCTGAGCATCATTACCGAGTGTTCCTGCATTTCATTCCAGCAGATTTCCCCCCCAGGCAAAATGAATCCGGTCAGGTTTTGTCCCTGTAGCAGCTGGCATTTCAGGTGTCTGGGTTGTGCTGCTCCCATGGGCTCTCATGCAGTACATGGGACCCTGCAGAACAGAGGGTTACAAAAGGGAGATTCACCTCATGTAACTCTGGAGTTGGGTTTTGTTATTTGCTGGATTTCCCATTTCCATTGTACACTCCATGGCTCAGATCCTCCGTTTCCCTGCACCTCCTTCACTGCTTTTATGCTTATTCTGGCTGGTTGTGCTGACACCCTGTAACTTTTCTCACCCTTTGGAGAACCAGATCTTCTTGCCTCTAACCCTACAAAGGAGAACATCAGTTTATCTTGGGTTTCTGTGCTTTGATACTTGGAGATTTTAGGGGATAAAGAATACAAGTTTCCCTTTCTCCTCTCCTAACTCAACAGTGCATCTTGACATATCTTGATCTGGGGCATTTGGTGTAGCTCTGACTCTGGACCCATTTTGATCAGATGGAGTCCAACTGGCATTGAAGATCTCAAGGTATCTGTTGTGTGCATCCCAAGCCCTCTTGGAGGCTGCCCATGGGAGGGAGACAGTGAGCTCTGCCAGGCTGTGCAAAGGGGCTTTTCACCCCTGGGGAAATGGCCCATAGCTGGGGCCCACCCAGGAACACTTGGCAGGATGTGCTGGGTCTGCATAGAGGTCAGCAAATGGCACAGGGCATGGGTTGATCTCAGGAGAGGAGAGAAACCAGAGCACAGGAGCTGAGATCAGGCTCATGAACGAACCACCAAAAACCATAAAGAAAAGTGTTCAGTCTGTCCCTTGTCCCATGCCCTGGGTGCCAACGTGAGCCTTGAGCACACGCTTGCAGCCCCTGGAAATGTTCTCTCTGTAGCGTGCTCAGCCTCCTCCTGTCCTCCCCGATTTTCTGATGCCAAACCAATGCTGTTTGGGTTTATGTATTCAGACTGCTAGTGACATCCAGTGGCTGACCAACCCAACCACAGGAACACGAGCAGTCCAATGGCGCGTCCACAGGCGATGGATGAGCTTATGTGGACTTAGATCAGATGGAGTTGATAGTAAACGCATGTAAAGTGCCACCTGCAAGACTTCTGTGACAGCCAAAACCTTGCCACCTTCCCCCTTGCTCCCCAGGGCAGAGGGCAGTGGTGTCCAAGGGTGGGATTGCTGCTTGTCCTCCTGTGGTGTGGGGCAGAGTTGGGCACAAATCCATGTGGGGTTTAAAAACCCCATTTGACCTCTCTGGATGAGTCGAAGATGTGCAGATGGCTGAGAGCTGTGAGGTGCTGGGGAGCGTGCAGGGCTGCAGCAGCAGCAATGTGGAAGATGGTTTCATGTGCTTGGAGTCCTCCAACACCTTTAGAGTGTAACTGCAGTAAGGAACTGTGACTGGTGTGTCTGGTAGTGCAGTGTCACACACAGGGGTAGGGCTTCCCTCTCCCCTACAGCATCTGATCGGGGTGTGTGCATAGAGGAAGGGGTTTATTACTGAGATGTTATTTATTACTGGCCTTGAGCCCACAGCCAGCGGCTGGAGCTGCCCCTGTGACACAAACCACAGGCAGAGAATGGTCCATGGCTCGTTTGTGATGGCTGCAGCACCCTCCCTGGTGGGACAATGAGATGGTCAGTGATGGGGTCAACGTTTGGTACTTCCCCACCATCCTTTTACCTCAGTGCTGAGTCTCTTGGGAGCAGGCTCGTGCTTTGTCTCCCCAAGTGGTGTGCAAGCTAATGGAGGTTTTAATGACACACAATTGACAGTGGAGGGTGTTCATGCTGGCAGCAATACCACGGCCTAGGAACAGAACAAGGTGTTGCAGAGAAACCTCACACAAAACCAGTGACAATGCCCTGACATTAAACGTACAAATAGCTCGATGGAATAAATGGTTGCTTCCAGCATGAGCAGAACTAATTTTAGATGGGAGAGCCTAATGTGCCTGTCAGTGCTTCACAATGAGTGATTAAAGACAGAAATAGGTTTGCTGTGTTCCCACTTGCATCAGGCCTCGGATCTGTAGGAAATACAGTATCTACGTGCAGAAATCACCCATGTGAGAGCATCCTAATGCATTCTGAACGTGATTTCACAGTGTCCATTGATCACAACCAATTGTGTTGTCACCACTGTAAATGTTGCCAGTCCTGGCTGCAGTCAGGAAGTGCCTGGTAGATTTGTTTTGACTTGGCTGTCTTCTGGTTACCTCGAGTGCCAGGTGATGTGGTGCCTTCTCCTGTAAGAGGCTGCCCGCAGGAGGAGAATCTGCTTTGGAAGATGCACCTGAACATAGATGCTGTCTCTGCTTGTGTGTATGTGTATAAAGATGCTGCACAGCAACACCTACCTGTAAACACACACACCTCATGAGGCTGCAGCCTGCCTGTGGCAGCTCCACCATGGGCTTCCCCAGGGCTCAGCAGAAAATACCTGACAAGAAGAAGCCTCCATCACCCCTGCTCAAAGGGCCATATCATTTCACTCTTTTCATAGACACATAATTCACCCAAAGAGGGAGAAGGAGTTACCAGACCCTGTAGTTCAGTCTTGATTAGCAACTAAAGGGTAAAGTCAGAAAGATCTAGTTCATTATTTGTCATGGATACAGAGTATATTCCACTTTGCTATGTAGGGTAATACATTCATATTCAGACTTTACACTTCCAAGGTTCACGGGTCAGGATTAACCAATTGTGACCTTGGAACAGAGCTCTTCTCTTGTAAAGCTGAGTAAGGGAATCTGAAGCAAGGGTCCATACGTTTATATAGAGCTCGATCTGACTGAATGGTTAAAAGGCCATTGAACAGCAAAAATAACATTCCTTTGCAGAGGAGGAATGAAGGACCTCTGGAGAGGTGAAATACAGGTGATTTTTCAGTGCGAGTGACATTCTGAATCAATCTCTACAGTGGCTTAGGGTGGTGGTTATCCTGTTCCTTTCCTCCTGGAATTCTTCTTCCGGAGCAATTCTTCCTGCTTAAAATATTCAGCAGGGAAGGATACAAATACCAACATTTCCCAGTGCCAGGTGCTGCTTTATTTACAGAAACTTTCCATTCTGTGTCCACTTTGTGTGTTTGGAGGCAGCAGAGCAGGATGCTGGTCAGCAAAGATGCCTCAAGAGTAAGGAGCAGCCTCTCAGCATTAGGACATCACGGGAGGGCACGGCTCCTGTCCTGGCTTCTCAGCCCCAAGCCTGCAGCTCTCTGTCCCTGTTACAGCTGACAGCGAGCAGCCTGGATTTCATCCTGGCAGTGACTTTTCAGTGGGGTTTTAGGTGAACAAACTCTCCCTCCCTTTTCCTCATACCCACCAGCGCACCCCAGAGCTTTCCCTACACCCCAACACAGCTTCCCTTCGCACCAGGAATCCCTCAACCACTGTGTCTGCCTGCTGGAAGCTTATTTCCCACTGCTTGTCCAGCCTGGCACACCAGGAGCTCCTCACCTGGTGGTTTCCATGGGTTTTGTTAGTGGGTTTTATCAGCCTTTAAGGTTCCATGCATAGCACCGGCATGAAAGTCTATGCTCTGCTTGTGGTCTGCAGTGGAGCTGCTCAAGCTGCTGTGCTCAGCTGTCTGTGCTATCAGTTTAAAATTGTCCATTCTCCAGTTTAGCAAATCTTCACCTCTTCCATAGATGCAGAAGCAATTCCCCAAATACAGCATTTCTGCTCAGTTTTCTCTGCCCTGCTCTATTGTGCACATTAACCATTAAAGTTTACACATGCCTGGGTAGCAAATGTATGGCTGGTCCCATAAAGGTAATTATTTTGAGCCACAACCTTTCTTCCTATTACCTTCTGCTCTTATGAGCTTCCCTGCCAAGACCAATCAGTGTGTAAACCTCAGCGTGTTAATAGCCAGGTTCATCCTTTTGTATTAAAGTCATATTTCATAGCTTCCGGGTCTCATCATCTCACCACAGCTTTGGTGATACCCACCTTCTCCTCAAGTGCTGCAGGCCAGCCTTGTGGGGTTTTAAATACTCTTTTCCTGCTTGCAGTTATGGGTAACAACTTGCAGACAGGACCCTGCAGGCGTGTAGGTAAAGGGCAAAGCACAAAAGCTGTACCAGTTGGAATGACTCCAGTGCTGTTTTAAAGCTCGAGAGTCTTCCTCCTGATTCCCGGGTTTGGAGCTGCAGGACTGTGTCTAATCCACTGTTCATTCTCTCCCTTATTTTACCCCGCTGTCCCACCACGGAGAAGGGAATGAGGAGGCCCCGTGCCAGGGCTGTTGGTGGCCCTGGAGCAGCCCAGCCATGGCTCACTAAGTGACAGCCACCCCTGGCACTGCCCCGGTGACAGTCACAGAGCAGAGCATCCGAATCACAGCCACATGGATTTCAGCTTCCAGCTCCATGTGCGGTTCTCACAGTGACAAGCACAGCAAGGGTTTCTGCTGCCTCTTCACAAACCCACTGAATCATTTATGTTTGCATTAAGGTTTGTAATCTTGGTTTGGAGGAGGGAGCACTGACCTCTGCCCCGGGTCATTTCCAGAGCTCCTCTGGCTCCCCCGTCAGGTATCACAGGGATAATGAGGTGGAACAATGTATTAATCTGTCACCCCGGAGCAAATGAGTTACATTGGTTTTGAAGCCTTAATGCAGTGGGCATAGGTTAAGCACCTTGTAAAGTCCTGCAGGCTTTGCTCTTCAGGTGTGAATAAACCAGGGTCTCAGGGAAAAGAATGGGGAAGCCTATAATGAGTGTCACAACTTGGTGGATTTTCATAGGGTCAGGAATTCACTGATGGCTTCAGTGCTGCAGCTCAGTGCCCCTGCAGGGCTCACCCTGATGGCAGAACTGGGCCCACCACTACAGTGGGCAGGTTCATGGTGTACATGGACAAACGTGTTCCCCTTGTGGTGCCCACACAGCACTAAGGGGTTCAGACACCATCCCCAGGATCAGGTCAATCATTGATCTTTTAAACTATACATTTACAGCCTTCCATGTCCTGAGCTGCAAAACTGACTGTAATTCATATGAAAATAACTGTGGCATTGACTTGCAGCTATTTAGTGCTACTCAACAATTTGGAGATCATCTCAGAAAGACTGGAGCTTGATTCTAATGTAGGCTCAATCAACACACACGGAACAATTCATCCTAATACATGTTTAAATATAGTTATGGGGATAATAGTAAATGTGGTGCTGGCTGACAGGGTCTGGGAAGTGAAGTTTGCCTCCATCCTGTAGCAAGTTTGTCCAAAGCCTTATCTTTATTTTCTATTCTCTTACCTTTGTGGGAGTGCTGATGACACAGTGCTTGCTACCAGCTGCTTTACTCAGCATTTCTTCCTATTAATAATCATGAAGAATTCTGTATGTGGAGGACATTTATGGACAAGCAGAATTCTTGCTGTCCTGTTCAGGACTGAATGTTCTAGTAGACAGTAGAACTAAGTAGATGTGAATCTAACCAAAAACCCACCCAGAACCTTTGGTGTGTCATGTGCAGAATGCACCTGGTCACCTGCTCACACCATCAGAGCTTACAGGTTGGGGTAAGGATGAATTTATGTAGGAAC